TCCGCAGGAAGCGTGGAGTGGTTTGAAGCCCTCAGTGGGTCATTTTAAAATTTTTGGGAGTGTTGCGTATGCACACATACCGGATCAGTTGAGGACGAAGCTTGAAGACAAAAGTAAGAAGTTCGTGTTCATTGGTTATGATGAGAAGACGAAGGGGTACAAGTTGCTAGACCCCGTCAGTAAAAGGGTGTTGGTGAGCCGAGATGTGAAAGTAAATGAGGAAGATGGATGGGACTGGAGTAGTCCATCCGGTGTCAATGTGGAACCCGGACACATATCAATTGAGGTCGGACAACATTCGACCCGGATTCCAGAGAATCCGAATGACTCTGATAGTGATGAAGAGCAAAGACAACCGAGATTGAGAAGCCTACAAGATTTGTATGACTCAACCAATGAAGCACACCTGATATGTCTGTTAGCAGATTCTGAGGAGTTGAGCTTCGAGGAAGCTGTCCGAGATGAGAAATGGCAATCTGCCATGGAGGAGGAAATGAAGGCGATAAAAAATAACAAGACGTGGGAGTTAGCCGAGCTACCAAAGGGAAGTCGGCCAATTGGTGTAAAATGGGTCTACAAGAAGAAAATGAATGCTAAGGGGGAGATAGAGAGATTCAAAGCCCGGCTAGTGGCGAAAGGGTATAAGCAGAAGGCTGGAGTAGACTATGACGAGGTGTTTGCACCCGTGGCAAGAATGGAGACAATACGGCTGTTGATTTCTCCAGCAGCCCAATTTGGATGGCCGATCTATCAGATGGACGTGAAATCGACATTTTTTAATGGAGTACTCGAGGAAGAGGTGTATCTCGAGGTTCATGAAAGTCGGAGAAGAAAGAAAAGTGTTGAGATTAAAGAAAGCCTTATATGGTTTGAAGCAGGCCCCAAGAGCCTAGAACACGAGGATTGATAATTACTTTAAGAATGATGGATTTGAGCAGTGTACGTATGAACATGCTCTCTATGTAAAGAAGAAGGAAGGTAAAATTTTACTTGTTGCCTTATATGTTGATGATTTAATTTTTCTGGGTAATGATGAAGGAATGATAAAAGACTTCAAGAAGAAAATGACAAAAGAGTTCGAGATGACGGATCTCGGTCTGATGGGATACTTCCTTGGTCTGGAAGTCAGACAAGACAAATCCGGGATCTTTGTATCTCAAGAAGCTTATGCAAAAGATATTCTGAATAAGTTCAAAATGATAAACTGCAACCCAGTTTCAACACCAATGGAACCCGGTTTGAAACTCTCGAAGTATGATGGAGGAGAGAGAGTTGATCCGAGTTACTACCGGAGTCTAGTTGGAAGTTTGAGATATTTGACATGTACAAGGCCGGATCTGTGTCTGTTGAGATATATAGTCCCACATTGATTAAGTGGGCAACTAATGTGGCCTTTATAAGGACTTGGGCACTCCCACCCTTTGAGCTAGCTTTTGGGGTAGTGTATCTCAAAGGTTCTTAACAGTGTCTGAGTGTTGGGATCATAAATCGGTTTATGGAAGACCCGGGGTACACTTACTGGAAGGCGGCTAAGAGAATTCTGAGATATGTGAAGGTAACAATCTCACAAGGACTTCATTACTCGAAGTCGGACAAATACAAACTGACGGGTTATTCAGACAGTGATTGGTGCGAAGATGTTGATGATAGGAAGAGCACGGCTGGCTATGTGTTCTTCATGGGAAACACGGCGTTTTCTTGGGTGTCGAAGAAGGAACCCATTGTGACCCTGTCTACATGTGAAGCCGAGTATGTTGCGGCATCTTGGTGTGTTTGCCATGCAATATGGCTGAGGAATTTGCTAAGCAAGCTGGAGCAGGAGCAAGTCGGCCCAACCGAGATTCGAGTTGACAACAAGTCCGCGATCGAGTTAGCTAAGAACCCGGTCAATCATGAGCGGAGCAAACATATTGATGTTAAATTTCATTTTATCCGGGATCAAGTTAAAGAAGGAAAAGTGGAGCTAAATCATGTTGCAAGCCAAGATCAAGTTGGTGACATTTTTACAAAGCCACTGTCGACGTTGCTGTTAGAAAATTGTAAGAAGAAGATGGGCATGAAGGACGGTAGAGATATTAAATATTAAGGGGGAGTTTTGTTAGGTTAATCTTTAATTTAAATAAAAGAAAATAGAAATATGAAGGGTTTTGTTTTGGTTTATGGTGTGTCCCTAGGCATATGTTAGTGGATAATTAATATGTTTAGATTTCCTATGTTAGTCATTATTATTCTTAATCATTTGCTGTTGCTTATAAAAAGTACATTGTAACTCTTGAAAAGTGGCTTGGCAGAATCAGTAATAATAGAAAAGTATATTTAGAGAACTCCTTGTGTATTTTGTGTGTGTGAGAGAAACACCATTAGAGGACCTGTGAAAATATCACTTTTCACCTACCTTGCTTTGTTTTCACTAACACGTAATACCAAAAAATGTCTCTTGCAACTTTGAAAATGTTACACCAGATGGCTACTCAAATCACATTTCTAGATGTGTTGATGAGGCACGAAAGATCTGTAGGGTTGAAAAATCATCATGGCCATTTGATTTATAATTGATCATTTACTACCATTAGCAACTCGCAGTGTATTGCCAAACCATGAGATTGTAATCTTGGTGGAGTTCTACACATTTCTTAGAGTCATTTGTGGTAAAAGCTTGAATCTTTTATACCTTGATTCATTTTACGTAGTTTTGATTCATTTATTTATCTATATAATAGAGGAAGCAAAGTTCGAGGTCTAGTGCATCATTGATATATGTGTCATATTAGTGGAGAGGTAATAAATCACTACTTAATGATATCCTATTATATGTTTAATAGTTGTTTACACCGTATATCCATCAATTTTATAGGGAATTAGGTCATTTGAATTGTTAAAGAAATTAATATAAAATCATTAATTGGCTTTCACCTAAAAAGTTAAATTTTTTGGTTGAAATATTTATTTACGTGATATTACAACATTCATGGCCAAGTGGTAATAAGTTTGAATCTCACAATTCAGCCCAAAGCCTTAAAGACATTAGGTTTATGGGTCCTTTGACTTACCATGCTTGACTCATTTCTTCCCGATGTGAGATTTTTTTATCATTGACACTTGAATTCTCAACAATCTTTCCCTTTAAGTGTGAGTCCTGTAATTATCAACTCCTTTTTAAGTGGAAGCTTCTTCGAGTATTGATTCCTCAACATGGATTTGGAAGCCTTACAAATCTGAACACCAATCACCATTTCACTTTGATACCATTGTTTGGCATTAGCCAAGGGGAGTCCAAATTAGGAAGGATTATCATCCACTCATCAAATGGACCTAAGTAACATACCCAAAACAAAGGGCTCTAATACCACATTTCAATTCAAAACGTTAAGCCATTAGATTTATGGATCTTTTAACTTATATCTACCTTATTATAACAGCTTGATGAGAGGCATAGTCTAAAAATTAGTGCCACAAATTCGTTGCATTATTTGGGAGCATAGTTGCTGCAACTGCCTGTTGTTCCACAAGAGCATACACTCCGTCATACATCTTACCTAAGCTAGTCTCCATCTTCAGGGTTTAGTCCTACACAAATCTAGCTTTGTCAGTGAAAGTCACACACTTTTATTCGTCGAGGTCACAAGTTGGCCAAATTATTTTAAATTGCACGTTAAGTTTGGAACATATAACACACGATCCAGTTTCAAATGTGTATTCAGAATGGTTGTTCCTTGCATTACAATTTTACATGAGTGGTTGTCCCATTAAGCAACAATACAGGCAAAGGTTCAATTTTTTGAACATCATGGAGGGATGAAAGCATCCCTGTCATGAACAGGGATGTGCCATTATCAATAAGCCAAGCTTTACAACGATTAGTATTACCAGAAAGTTTTTCCGTGGGACGAGGTTGCTCAACCAAGGATAATAAACGATCGACAAGTTCAGGTGTTAACATAAGAGAGCCGTTGTATTTTGTTGATCTTCATGATGCATAACATGTTCCCTTTTCGTATTGGCTCTGCCATTTAAACGTCCTTTGCCCCATCCTCGACCTGCTCCTTTGTTAGGGTATCCATTGAGCTTCCAACACATGGTCATATCACATCATATTTGAAATTTTATGGAATCACAGTTATTTTTATTATTGGAGAGACTTTGAATATAGACACACAAATACAAATTGTTAAATAATCAACTAACAAATAAAAGGATAAAATCACAAGCAGTTTACATAATTTAAATATTCTTTTATTCTAATCCCTAAGATTTCCCTTCAAGTTGGAGAATGAAGACAACCAACACCCAACTAGCAAACTAGGAAGATAAAAAAATTCCTTGCCCGATATTTTTCTAAAAAAAGCACACAAAACATTGCTAAAAAGACAACTCAGGGATGCCCGAGACGTTAGAGAGATAAACATTGCTGGAAAATCAACTTAGCAAAATAACTGGAATAACCATCAACCTAAAAAGCTGGTTGAAATTTTACTTGACCAAATAAGAAGACTTTGCAGAAATAACATCAGCAGAAATGTCGTTTGGTGGAATAACCATCAACGGAAATGTCATGGCAAGCAAATATATATACACAACAAGAACAAAAACTTCTCCAAATTAAACATTTGAAAGCCTATAAAATAGCAACTAGAACAAATGGGTTTTGTTGAAAAAAATAAAATTAAAGGGGTTGCGGGAAAACAGATGGGACATAGGAGTTTGGAAAGGGTGACACAGTTCCCAACTTTAGGAACTATGTAGCGAAAAAGTAACGAAAAGGTGATGGAGGTTGGAACTGCTCTGATACCATATTGTAGAGTTTTTTAACACAGATCAGGGTTAATGCATTTTTCACTTTTCAAATTCAATAAATTCTTGTGTAAGGGGTGTTAGAGAAATATAAGTTTTTTATACTAAATAAGTTCCATAGCCGAAGAGTTTTTTACTTTTTGAATTGTGCAGTCATTGTAATATTTGAAATATGCTAACAATGTTCATTATTGCAGCGTAATTATTTCATGCAGTGAATACAGACATATTTCAGCTCTGTTCCGAGAAAATGAAGCAAACCACCACTAACTTGCTTTAAGAAAAAAATTGTAGACCGAAACCAAAACATACCTAGAAGCCATTAAACATTGTGAAATTCAACAGAATCGGTGGATGATAGCATCGTGACATGCCTCGTATAATTGAAATCAAGTTCATAGTCACATAAAAGGTGGAGGTAATCTGGTGAGGACAATTGGTTGTGATTAATTTGGTCATCTGCAATCACTTCCGCAGACTTCTGTTTTGTTGATGAAAAAACCGGTTGTTCTTTGCTTTTGGGGAGGGTACTATTGAAGCATAGTAATCCAGAAGAGGCAGAAGATGAAGCAGATTCCAACATTATCTCATGGTTAAGAGAGCATTCACAAGTGTGATGACCATAATATGTTGTCCGGTACAATGGAGGGTTCTCTTGAATTCTCTGCACTTGTTTGATTGCTTGGCATTTCTGTTCATTCTTGTAAGTACACCTGTAGTAGCTCCTGTTCACGTTTTTCAATCATATTAATTGGATGCATCATTTAGGAGAGAAGGATTCTAGATGGGGAGGTTATGCAAATATACATGAAGCTGAGTATTTTGAAATGTAAACTTTGGTAGAATACCTGAGATATTTGGCATTCATTGTCATTTTTTGTCCATACTTTCTCCATGCATGGCCATCTTCAATCAGAATTGAGCTTTCCGTCTCCCTAGTTGGTGCAACTGATCTGCTGACAAAAATTCCAATTACAGAATGGTTGATTACTTAACTATTTTTAAACATGACCAATAATTTAAACAAAGATCTTAACTTCGTGAAATTATTTATACAAGAGAAATTAACACACTGTCACAAATCAATCCAATAATTGTGTAATATGGTCCACTCAGCTGTGGTCGACCTAATCAAATGAAGTCTAAAACTACAATGGCTTTAATTGATATTCAATAATTGTGAAATATCATGATTCTTTTGACTTCTTGAAAAGCATCAGGGGAACCTTTTTTATTTATTTATCAATATATACTATTAGTTTTAACTAAAAAATGTTTGGAAGTAAAAGCATGGTATTCAATTGCAGCAGTAAACAATATTAAATTTAGGGGTATGTTTTTTTCATGTTACATGAGGTAACGTACCCATCCTATTCACACATCAAAAGTTATACTAACATTTATTTATTTTTTTACTTTTTTTTTTAAAGTGTGGACTCCACATGTTTTATGTCTATGGCATGAGATAAAGTCTCGTACAATATGAGACTTGTATTCTCCTTAAATTTAACCCACCAACGAAATTGGAGACTATTTTTATTAAAATTGAAGGGACAAAATTTAATATAACCTCAAAATTAAAAAACCCCTCCCCATTAAATTCAGAATAGCGAGGGTGGGGTTAATATAACCTAAAAATTGAATCACATAATTAGAAGGAAGGACAAAAGGGACTTGTGTTGTAAAACACAAATTGTCTCGGCTGTTTGGAGTTTGGACTGTATTTTGGATGATACAGTTTTCAATCAATCTAATTTGTCTCCTTTTTTCTTCTTCTCAAATATTAGTTTTATTGTTAAATATTTTGACTACAATGATGAAAGTGGTGGTAGAATCGGTAACCAACTATCACAATTTTACATCTATAAATCAGACGTAGTGCAGGCATGAATTTACATTGAAGTAGTTTAATCAGATCTTAAAGAGAAGCTAGATAACAATTATAATCGCATATAAAGAGCTAGAATGTCATGTATATGATTCTTACTTTCTCTTGTAGCACGCTCTTCGATTTTTGGTGTTGAGAATTTTGATATTCTTGCAAGTTTCATCCAGACCCTCTGGCTTTGTGCAGTTTGTGGAGGAAGAGATATCTCTGATAGGAATGGGCACCACCACCTCATCGGAGTGATCATTATTGGTGTTCAAGAACAAAAGGGTATTTGTGAATGATCTCAGTACATTCCGAACAAGATCTTCAGCAATTGGTAATACTGACTTTGACCCTTCCTCGTTTGCAATTACTTCAAGTAACTGGTTTGCCATGTCACGCCCTCTGATTAGCTGCTCTTCCATTGCTATTCTGCCATTTGAAGATTGATTCTCCATTCCTGGTTATGAGTTTGGAGATACCCTAGAGTTAAACAAAGAAAATTATGCCTTTTATTCAATATACGGTACTCTTCCAACTTGCAAATTTAAAATTAGTTGTTGTTCAGAGTTTAGATAAAAAAATTGGCAGCAGAAATTGACAGGGTTAGTTTACGAGCTAGAGTTTAGAGAAGAATATAACCAAATATGATCTATCACGTTAGGTAGAGGCTTTCAACAGTGATGGAAAGGATGTAAATGAAATATTTATATAAGTATCATAATTTTTTTATTTTTTTTTTGGAGATATTCCAATAAGTTGATCGTTTAGTTGTTAGTCCGATTCGGGGCGGATCCCGGAATTAAAGATTTAAACTACTGCCAAGAATGATATAGATCAAACACATGTTCTCATCTCACCTGTTCAGTTTCTTGACGCCAGCTAACTACCATCATTTGACATAAATTAACTTATTTGGTTGAATGAGATGCTGCTTGTAACACCCCGTATATATCCGGTAATGTTATCATACTATCGTATTAAGCTGCGCTTAATTAAAAATGCGGAATATCTTTTTCTTTTCAATTATGACGTCATTATCATTACCAACTTGCTTAATTAATCAATTAAATAAAATCATGCCTGTATGTAAATTGCAAAAGACATCTAACTGAAATACTTCATTAATTAAAATAACATAAGTATGTCTCTAGTCACGGCGCTACAACACGTAGACCGAAATAACTAGCAGTTTATACAACTCAACTTGTAAGAACTCGCACCGTTAATTAAGGAATTTTAATTAATTAATTATGCAAAAATAGGAAATGATTCCATAATTGACCCTAATAATTATTATGAGACTTTAATAATTATAGTAAGTGATTAATAATGCTGAAAGTCACTTTTCGGAATAAAAGTGCAGATACCGGTTCTGCTAGTCGGTATTAATGCGTACCGAAAAAGTATCCCGGAAAATTATAATAAGTGCATGATAATTACTAGAATAATATGTAGGACTTGTAAAACGAGTTTCAAGTCCAAATATTGATAACTGGTGCTAGAAACCGGTACTGGCTTTGAAAAGCGCGTACCGGAAAGGTGCTCAGAAAATTATAAGAAAAATATGATAATTCTTGTAAAAGTGAGTAGGTTAAGAATCCAGAGTTTGGGATTAAAATGCTAAGCGTAGCATTTAAAGTTAATACTGTGTGTTTAATTGTTAAACCACTATATATAGCCTTATGATTGGCACATAACCCTAGGACCTCAGTTTTTGTGCGTGAAAGTGGCTGACCAGAACCTTGAAACACTGTTCCATAGGCTTCTCTTCTCCTTTCTTGAGGTTCGAAGCCATTTTCTTTACACTTTCTTCTTGTAGACACCTTGAGTGAGTGGGAAACACTATGGTGAGTGTGTTGAGAGCATCATTCTGGGTTTTTACCTCTGTTTGGAGGGTCCTTGGTTGCTGACTTTGGGGGTTGAGAGTGTTGAGCCATTGTGGTGGCATTTTGGAGCTTAAAGAAGCTTCTTTGTGAAGAAAGGACCAACCTTTTGTGTTGCATTTTCGTACACCTTATTTCCAGAACCTGTAGAGGCAGTGTGGTGAGCTCCAAGAGCTATTGATCCTCTGTTTTGAGCTTTGGTGAGTTGTACCTACCTTGAGCTTGTGTTTTAATGGGTTAAAGGTGTGACCTTTGCATGTTTAATGAGTTAATCAAGTAACCAACTGGGGTGTGGACCTTAATCAGTATAAAGATGCATGCTTTAACGTAATTAAGTGTTAAAAATGGAACCTTGGAAGGATATCTTCACGAAATGCATTTTCTGCATTCTGTCGTGAAATATCCGGATATGTGCCCGTGAAATATCCGGATATTGGATATCCGGATATGGTATCCAGATATGTGATATCCGGATATGTGATTCTGGATATCCGGATATTGCATATCCGGATATGTCCAGTGAGATATCCGGATATTGCATATCCGGATATGGTCCCGAGGAATATCAGGATATTATGGGTTTGCGATGAACAGTAGCGTACTGTTCATCCAGAACTGATGTTTGGGTTTGTGGACCCTAGTGTGATGAAGTTGAACTTCTGTAATTAATTATATAAGTCAGAATCTAAGTGATTAAGGGCTTATGGCTTGGTGAGAAGCCTTAAGACGTAAAGCGTAATAAAAGGCGTTGTCTTAAAGTGATATGCTTGTAGTGCATTATTAATGATATAGTATTGGTCCATAACAGATTGTGAATCTGCTGTGTTTGGACGTTGAGCTGTGGACTCTTGGCTTTGGGTGTTAGCTTGCAAGGTAAGTTTTCGTGTCCTCGGTTTAGCCATGTTGTGGTTCCACCATGTCCCATGGGGGTATGGTTATATGCATGCTGTGTTACATGCTTTGGATATTTGAAATGCTGTTGAGCTTTATGTGTAATGGCTTTTAATATGCATGTGTTGTTCCATCTTGACGGTAAGCCTGAGTATGTGGCGTCATACAAGACGGTGATCCGGGGTGGATGCAAGTAGCGTCTTGCACTATTTGTGGATATTAGACGTATATAAATCCTGCATTTCTCTGGCCAGTAGAATAGAATTGACACACATGACATGATTATCTGCTGCATTGCACTATTTTGGAACTAATGATGATAAACTGCTTTTGAACTTATATTGCACATATAAGTGAGCTTGGGGTGGAAGATCCTTGAGGACCCCTTGTCTTACTGAGATTTCTTGTTTAGAGATCTCACCCCACGTTTGGGGAATGCTTATTTCAGGTTCAGGTAGTATGGTGACTGATGCCTCTAGCGGCAGGAGGCCAGAGCTTAGCTGATTATGATATTATGTTGTATTGCTGCCATGACTGGATTTGGATGCTGTTTATGTTTTCCGCTATTTATGTTTAAGTGGTTGTTGAGACTGATGTTGGGTGTGTTGACTTATTTGAGTGAGCATGGGGATTGTCCATGACACTTTATGTTAGTACTTCTAGATTGGAGTTGTATAAACTGTTAGATGGTCTGGTCTACGTTGTTGTAGTTTCGTGACTAGAGCCACACTTTTATTATCTATAATATGAGGTATTTCAGTTAGCTGTTTTATTGCAATTACATACAAGAAATATTTTGAAAATGGTTAAGTAATCAAGCTGGTAATGAATAATGACATCACAATTGAAAAGAAAAAGATATTCCGCAATTTTTAATTAAGCGCAGCTTAATACGATATTATGATAACATTACCGGATATATACGGGGTGTTACATTTATGGTATCAGAGCAATGGTTCGAGGGAAAAGCCTGTATGTATTGCAATAGTTAGGATGTTTGGTTGTGTCTGTCTTGTGTGTTTAGTCCGTCGAATTTTATTATGATACTGCATATGTAATCGCATTGTGTGGGCCTGATCAACTCATAATTTGTCTAACTTGTGCAAAGTCATGGTAAGGTCCGGGAGAACACGAGAAACTTCTGAGGATCAACCCGATCCTATCCTGACTGCATTGGCTGAGATGCAGGCGGCTAGGTTAGCCGATCAGGAGGCCCCTAGATTGGCCAACGCGGCAATGATGGATGGTGTTCGCAAGGCGAACCGGATAGCCGCAGAAGAGGTTTGTGAAGCGAACCGGAGGACCACTGAGGATGTCCTCGAGGCGAACAGGATGGCGAACATGACGATGATGAGAGTTATGTTGGAGGAGATGAGGGCTGGTCCTGTTGTAGGCCAGGCACCACCGCCACCGCTGCCGCCGCCTCCACCTAGTGTTCAGGATGAGAGCCTGAGTCACATTGGCAGTGCTGCTCATGTCGCTGAGACGAGGGAGACTCTTGTAGAGCCTGCTGAGGATCGTGATGTGTTAGATCGCCGGCGGAATACTTTCAGGAAGCATAAGCCACCTGTGTTTGAGGGGTCTTTGGATCCTATTGTTGCGGCGAGATGGCTGGAGTCGCTGGACAAGATATTTCGGGTCATGCAGTGTACAGATCCGCAGAAGCTGATGTTCTCGACTTACACGCTGGAGGGCGATGCCCATGAATGGTGGACGAACACCTCTCGTGCTTATGAGATGCAGGGTCGTGTCATGACGTGGCCATTCTTTGAGGAGTGCTTTTTGGGCAGATACTTTCCCTACGATGCGCAGGAGAGGAAGCAGGGGGAGTTTGATAGATTGGTTCAGGGCTAGATGTCTGTTGACTAGTACCTGGCCAAGTTCAATGAGTTGGTGAAGTTTGCACATTTCCGGATGGTTCCTCCTACTCTGATGTTTCTGGCTGCTAAGTTCCACAGAGGACTTAGTGAGGTGATTGCTAGGCATTTAGCTGGAGCTGCTTTGAGGGATTTTGGTACACTGGTTCAGTAGTGTAAGGACATTGAGGATGTCTGCATAGCGAGTAAGGCCAAGAGAACCAGGGTCGACGAGACCAAGGGGACTGTTGGTTCCACTCCTGTTCCTACATCCTGGAAGGACAAGAGGTTTGCTGGGAAGGGCAAGGGTAAACAGTTGGCGACTAGGCAGGCGCCTGGTCAGTTCAAGAGGACTGCTTCACAACAGGGGAGTTTTGCTAGGCCTCCTTCCACTCCGAGATGTGTGGGGTGCGGAAAGGAGCATGCTAGTCGTTGTGCTTTGGGTCAGTTGATCTATTTCCAGTGTGGCAAGGAGGGCCACTTCTCTAGAGACTGTCAGTCGTCGATGGCGAGAGCTGCAGCTGTTCAGGCAGCTCCTTTGCAGATGGTTCCGATGGCTTCTACTTTGGCACCTGCAGTGCCACCTTCTGTTGGGCGTGTGTACACCTTGGATAGGCAGCAGTCGGATCGCGCTCCGAACCTTGTTAGAGGTACTGTGTCTATTGTGGTATTGCTGTTGATGCATTGTTTGACTCCGGGGCTACGCATTCGTTTGTTGCTACCCCGATTGCTTTGGGGCTTGAGTTGCCCATGTCTGTGCTTTCTCCACTGTTGCGGGTGACTACCGCCACCGGAGAGATATGTGTTTCTACCACTGTACATCGC